TTTAATGAAGTGTGAGAGGTTCTTCAGAAACGATTATAGCCGTGCTCCGGCTCACAGCTAGAGGCTATGGAGGGGAAAGGAGGAGGGAGAAAAGAGGGGAATTGAGGACTGTCACAAACGATGAAGACTTTGTAGGATGGTGTAGGGCGCGCAGGGGTGCAGACAGGAGCGCCACGCTTCTTTGGAATAGATTACAGGGGCGTTCACTGTGTATCGGAGGTGACATGACCTGACCAACCCCATTTCATTTCCTCCATGCCAAGGGATTTTCCCTCAAAGCTGCATGCTGACGCAGTACATTAGACTCAACAGCCTGCAGTCTCATAGGTCATATTTTGCATACATATTAGACAGTGGAGGATGATTCTAACCTTTCCATGTACAGGGTGCTCCCATTCAGACCGGGAAACATTATTGTTCAGTAATTTCACACACAAATCTCCACTCTCCTAAGCTGCTTCTTCTTTAAATACCACATGATGAGGTAAGTGGCTGCTGAAAGGGCAGACAGTCCAGACACAAACAGTGGCTTTTTGCTCACATTATTATTGTGCTCCAAGTGACAAATTGTAATGAGATACTTTGTGGATGCACAAAAAGGAATTCCCTACTCGCTCTCATTTACCAAAGGTCAAGATATCGAGATAACAGCAACTCTTGCCAGTTTTACTTATATAATCCAATTTATTACAAACAGGATATTATTTGCATATTTTGGCACATAAGTTACATTAATATTTAGAAATTGTGTTCTGGGCTGCAACTACATTATCAAGATACATGTAGTCCAAGTAAAACCAGATGAAAAACATTGGGACTGTATCTATATTCTATATAGTCACAGAAGTAAACAAAGGAGTCCAATTTAGGCATATCAGTCATGGGGGGAGAGACATTTTTGGATTTTAGCCTTTGCAGACCATTTACATTTAAAATTTAAATTTTGACTAACTAGTAACTTTTTATCCCTTCAGACTGAAGACAGAAGAATCATTTAACAATGTAAAACATCAATCTAGAAATATTTAACAGCAAGTGTTTTGTTTGGCTGCGTTAGTAGAAACTGTTGAATGCAGATGTTACGCCAGTTTGCACTGCACCACTTTGTAGTGACAGCCACAGCTGACCCTGTGGGTACAGTCTGCTGTGGTGGCTGTCACTTAGTGTGTATCTGCCGTCACTGTCCACATGCCCAGACTGTAACACTATCTGCAAGGACTCCGAAGCTGTTAATCAACTCCTCTCTAATGTGTTGTTCACACCTCTCCTTATCTCTCTTTCTCCCTATCTCTCCGACTTGCCGTATTTCTAAGACAGGGTGCTCGGATGGGCCATCGCTGTCACTAATTTGTTGTGGCAATATTAATTAATGATCAGCCTGTCACAGCTGTTTATATTGAGACAGATTAGAAGTGGGAGAGATTAGACAAAGAAAACAATCTGCGAGGGGCTCAGCGGCTGACAGGGGTCACCTTCACGTGTCTGAAATCATATTCAATTTGCCGAGGCGGAGGCAGGGAAATGACTGCTCTTGACCAGTCTGTACCAGTCCCTCTCTCTGTCTGCGATGGTTCACATTAGGAGATAACTAAATCAAATTTGAACCGCAAAAAACGAAAAAGACAATTTAGAGTCGTATTTGATCTCATCTGAAATGATGAGAAATGAAAATACTTAGTTGTGTTTTTAATACCCACGCTGGCTTTTCCATGCTTTCTATTCTCCATTAACCCTCATTTTCCTTCTGTTCAGCCACAAAACGCATTTCCCTTTTCAAATGGATGTTAATCCGAGGTGGCAGAGCGCGTCCTGACCACTGACCTCAGTACTGTCCTTCCGAGCGGACATGCTGACTGAGCATTCCCACCGCCACACACAAGTCTCAGGCTCAGTTGACTTGGCAACGACGCAGTGCATTGTGGCGGCGCGGGGAGATTAAGTGGCCAATCAAGGCCTGAACAGCGGTGTAATCATTCCACTTGGTAAAATGGATGTCAGGATTAGGCACTTTCTCACTTCACTATGCTGGCTTTAATAGGGCAAAGACATTTTCCGGTAACTAAAGTTCGGCGGTACGATTAAAGAACAGCTTCTTACTGACTGGTTAATAATCAATTCTTAAAGTTATGTTTGGAGGCCGATTAAACCGTAATGTCAGGGACTATACAAACACATTGGGAGAGGATGGGAGGTCAGAAAAAGGTTGGAGTATTATATAATTGCGGAAGGGTAAGCAGTCTCACTTTTTAAGATATATCACATTTGTACTTTATTTGATATCTAATAATTTTAAGATAAATAAAAAAAACAATACAATTGTAAAATTATAATATGAGGTAGCAACCCTACCTACTAGAAATACAACAAAAAATATGTGTTAATGGAATACCACCAAAATGACATTGGAATACATACGAGGAATGGCATTATTAATATCTTTACAGATAGTAAACATATCAGTAAACCTGGTCACTAACTACACAAACATATGATGAAATGATATCTGCTATTAGATACTGCTATGTTATTATAGTTGTTATGTTTATGTTTAGACATTAACTCTTAGCCAAAGAGCTTTGTAGCCTTAACATACAGACAGCTCTCACTATGGATATTAATAAGTAAAGTCAGTGTAAGGCGAGAGATCTCTGCAGAATACTTTCCCATTTCATTTCCCTGGATAAATAAAAGGTTGAATGAAGGAATACAATAAATAAAGTCCTTGCTGGAGGATAAATAGCTATGTGATATGTCAAGCAGACTGTGGCCCGATGCCTCATTTCTGATATGATTGTTAAAAGTGTCCCATAGACATGTGTGTAGGAGGGATGGATGGAGGAAAGTGGAGGCTACATGACTGCAGGAGAGAGTCTGTGTGGATGCGCACTAGTATGCTTGTCTTGTCCCTCCTGCTTTGTTATTCCTTAGTATGTATTTGAGGCAGAATACAGCACTGTGCAGTTCCCCTGAGTTTAAATATTTCATTTGGGAGATGAATTCTGGAGCTACCAGCCTTGCTGTTCAACTCAAAGTTTGAAGGACTAATGCTGCTCCTAATTCGTATGTCTCACTGTGTTGAGTTAATGCAATACCTCCATATTACAGTCCTGGCTCCCACTACCTATTATTATTTCCCTCCATCAATATATTCAGGCCTTTTTCTCTGGTTTCTTACTTTCAAATTAAGGAAGTAGTACTCGGGTCGATATTGCATACAACTACAAACAAACAGAAAGGAAATATGAATAATTTGTCAAAGAATGACACAAAGAAAGGGTCAGGAGAGGGGTTGATGCTATATAGCGTGTGGGGCCATTAACATCTCCTCTACAAAGCTTTTCTCTGCAACAGGTACAGCCAGAGGGAAGAGAGGGTGAAGAAGGCGGCACACATCATTTGGAATACCACCATAACATTTGCATTACCCACAGGCTGCAGCTGGCAACCACCCCCACATTTACACTTCACATCTGCAGTAGTCAACCACTGCCCATGCAATCAGTGCTTGGCAGGAAGATTGGCTCGCATGCAAACATCGAAAGAGTGCTTTTGAGCTTGAGGGTTTTTAAAGTCCCATTACGCAATGGTTCAGACATGTAACCCATCGTAGCCGCCAAAACACATGCCTGGCCACATGTGTATTTCCACATGCATGCATATTATGCACTTTTATCCTTTACCAATACAAAATGAAACGCCTCTCCAGCCTGGCAGACAGCACGGCTGACTTTCAAGAAATTCCACAAGCGAGTGCTTTCTGGAACTAAACGGGTGCGGCAAATCCTCTTAAAATCCTTTTAGATACCGTGGCAGCAGGGAGAAAAAGAAAAAGTTTCTCCGAGGCAAACGTGCAGGTTTGTTGGGTTGATGTCGCGCTCTGGGGAAGGACATTCTCGCCAGTTTATTTCTTCAAGGCTGGAGAGGAATGTTAATACGACACATACCCTAGAGGATGCGCAGAAGCACACTATGATGGCGTGTGAGTTGACACAAGGCTTAAAGGAGAGACAAACGACACTTTGGATGTGTGCGGCTTCAACTAACCATTCGAGAATGTGGGGTTGTACACATTTCGTTGTTATATTAGGACACAATAGGAAACATGTACAGTTTCATGTTGAGCTTCCAAAATGCCAGATACCTGTAAATCATGGATTTGAGGTTCTACTCTATGCAAACAATAGTAAACATCTAAAACCAGTGTGACTATCTACTCAGCAGTTTTACTTTAGATGAAATTCTTCAGCTGAAATTAAGTTTGAAATGGCTGTCAACAAGTGCCAGCATATCCAGCCTCTATGTCTTTAGGCTCTCCAATTTCATCAAGTTTCTCAAAACTAGTTTCCTGGCTCTGATTGCTATTTACATATTTGGGTAAATGAGCATGGGATTGGGCTCGGTGGTTTGTTTGACGATTTGCTCTTTGCTTTTCTATCTCCTTTGGGCAACAGATTGGATTAATGTTTGTAGACACTGTGATGCCACACATGAGGAAACAGGAGATCTTGCAAAATTACAAAACTCTCCCAATTACAGCTCTACAAACACATACAAACTAGGGGAAAAGCTCATTTGGGTGGCGATGCAGATGTTTCTTGTGTCAGAGGCACAAGGACAATAATGAGCTTCATTTACATGCTTTTCTATTTTAATAGACCAACAAACAGATAATGTTTACTCAAGACCCGGGCGTTGCAGAACACACTAAGAAAACAATGAACCTACACACACATGCATTGTGATCTGTAATATAATATATGCTCTATCTTTTGAGGCACATGCCAGCTTGCTTACATAGATCTTTATCCTCTCTGCCACCATTTCTCCTTCCATCCCCACTCTTTTAAGCTCTTATCTCCTTTCCTCCTTAATTACTTGTTAGAAGGTGTTTGGCTTTTCGCTGCACGCCTGCTGTTTTGGTCATTACAGGCCCCTGTAGGAAGTGAAGTAGCTGCCAAAGAAGCTTAGCATAAGACAGGCGCTGAGGTGTCTGTACTCACCTGGGGTAAATGAGGGCAGCTCTTCCTGCTGGCTTTGAGGCCTGTCGTCCCCTCAGGGGCCGTCCTGATGTTGAAGAGGGCCTGAAGAGCACACTGGGCCGCCTGGGTCTTGGCCATCTTCTTGCTGCGCCCACAGCCCTCGAAAATCCGCCCATCCACACGCACAGCCATCACAAAGCTACGCAGCCGCTTGCCTTCGGCCCGCTCAGAGAGGCAGGCGTAGCGCAGGCCCGGCCGGAGCTCGTTGAGCATGGCTACGGGGCTCTTAGGAGCCTCTTGCTCTGGAACAATCCCACCTAGCCTCTGCTGAGCCTGCACCATCAGGTCCAAGGTGTGTCGGAGCAACCGTCCGTGTCTCAGTAGCTCACTTGATAGAAGCTCGCTCTCTGCTGCCGAGTTGCAGAACGAGAGGCCGTCGGAGCACGCAGAAGACTCAAATTCCTTGAAGAGTGTCTCAGGGAAGTCTGCCTGATCTGAGGTGAAGTCAGCCGAAGGGTTTGAAATGTTTCCCATGGCCAGGTGGGCCTGAGGAGCGTTAGGAAACTGGATGAAGGACTTGAGGGCCAGCTCTGCAGCCCTCATCTTAGCTTTCTTCTTTGTGGGGCCCGTGCCTTCGAAAGTCAGCCCGTTCACCTCCACAGCGATGGAGAAGACGGGAGCATGGACCGGGCCGGTCTGAGACACCATGCGGTACTGTAGGCCCGGCTTCAGCTCATTGAGCTGCACCAAAGCATTTTTCGGTGCTTCAGACCAGGACAGTTTCTTGTAGATGAGGCGGAGTTGACACAAGTGTCCGTTGTTGTCCTCCTCCAGCGGCCGTTTCCTCTTCAGACCGGAGCTCCCACTTTTCGCTGAGTCGGAGCAGAAAATGGACTGGCACTCTGCCGATCCTATGGAGCGATCCTCCAGGTTACCAATGTTGCGGTTCTCCTTCACCTCGGCACTGCTGGTACCTGCAGTCAAATGAGAAAATGTAAAAGTGATAACAAATAGAGAGAGAGAGAGAGAGAGAGAGAAGAGCATTCATAACTGTGTGACACACATTTATCCTGGCTGAACAATATGAATCAAGGAAAATCTCCCGGGCAAGATTGAGCCACTCGATACACAATGAAATGGTAATGAACAAATCTACAATCATCTCCATGAGCCGAGCCCACTTCATACCACGGGGCGCTATCACGTTTAAGTGTTTTAAAATACAAATACAAATCCCCTAAAAATGGCGATGTTATCTGCCAAATCATTCTGTAATCTGCCTCCAAATTGGTTCTGAATCTGTGTTGCAAGTGAGAAACATTGGTCCCTGTGGCCAATGCAAAGCACCAATCCTATTTGTAATGGCTGTTGGGATCACATCGAGTGGCAGACATTCCAAGAAAGGATGAAATGTCTGTAGCCCGCTTTAATTCACACAGCTGTGATACGCTCTTCAAACCTAGTTACGGGGGAAGTGGCGGCGTATTGCATTTCTGATGGGAAATGAACAAAAATGGGGTGTTCGGATCTTGTCACAGGAATGTTAATGTTGGAATGGGAGACTGGGATCAAGTGCTGACATTCACTCATGGGCTGAGGCAGATTGTAGATGATAGTGTGCGCAGGCGTGGATGTTCCTAATCTAATGGCTTATTTATCACAAACACTCAAATCTAATATTGAATAGCTCAAGATAATACAGATTTTAACACACACGCTGACATCCGTGCTTCATCAAATAGCCCATTTCACAAATAATTAATTACGTGGGTGACAGAGAGATCATTTCAATATTAGAGCCTGCCACTGAGGGAGTTAGTGCAGCGTGGTGACAGAGAGGAAGAAAAGAGATGGCAGCTTACTTAAACTGTCCTCGTCCTCTGTGCTGCTGGTCCCAGGGCTTATGTACTTGAAGGGAGCGATCAATGCCGACAGCATACTGACTTTTTCTGGAGGAGAGACAAGAGAGAGACACAGAGTCAACAAGAGGGCAGCGGCGGAGATGTTTTGATAGTTTTATCGATTATAGCGCAGATCAGAGTTGGCCCAACACGGAGGCAGAGGACACACACACACACACACACACACACACACACACACACACCAAACACACACACACACACACCACACACACACACACACACACACACACACACACACACACACACACACACACACACACACACACACACACACACACACACACACACACACACACACACACACACACACACCACACACACACACACACACACACACACACACCACACACACACACACACACACACACACACACACACACACACACACACACACACACACACACACACACACACACACACACACACACACACACACACACACACACACACACACACACACACACACAAATATATATGGTAAGTAACATACACTTTTAGCCTCATCCAAGAACATTCGCATTATTATCATTTTATTTTTTCTATGAGGTTTCACAAGTGCATTCACATGTCATATTCACCAAAATCTCTCACAACAATCAGGGTCCCAGAACTAATTTATTTTCAGTTTGTCAAGAGGTGTAAATCGGAGATGAATCAGACTTAAAACTTCTGAAGTCTGAGCCCCGCTGAAGGCTGTCTGTTCCACTAAATTTGTATTCAAAAAGGTTTTTACCAAAAAGTAAAAAGAGGAATATTCCACTGCGTAGCTTCAATTCCTGCTGTTGCAAAACATTAATCAAATTCAGCAGAGTCTGTAGCGGTAATGGGTGATATTGAAAGAACAGCTGTCAATGACAGTGCTTTACAGTGAAGAAAAGAAATAGCAATGATTTACCATAAAGTTAGATGCTAATTAGAGTCATACTAGTGATAAGTCATTAGTCACAGAGATATTATAGCCTGGAGCAGTGGTTAAGCGGGTAGACAGTGCATGATTCATTTGATAGTTAAGGACCACTCTTTAATTCCAGACATACCACTGAGAACATTCTTGTTAGACTATGAATGTGTTTTGTCCTTCACATTACGTTTTAGTTTGAACAGAATTTATTCAGTCATTTTAAATCTTCCATACACACACACACACACACAAACCAAACACACACTTCATGTTTGGTGATAAACTTTATCAGTGCTAACTTGTCAACAGTGGCTTTCTCCTGCTCTCCCTGGGGCCTGCTGCTGTCCAGGTGTGCGTGTTGTTTACAGTATGAAGCCCTATTAGGGCCATCGCTTGGTCTGGTGCACTCCATGCAGCGCTGAGCAGAATTGACAGACCAGTCTGGCTCCTTAATTACACCCCCTCTCTCTTCCTAACACCAGCTGATGATCAATAAAAGGGAGCGGGGTAAGGGAGAGGCAACGTGAGGGAGATAGTGGAGGTGGACAGATGTAACGGGAAGGAAAAAGCAAGGGGAAGAAAATGAGGAGTTTATGTAGGTGGTTGGAAGGTTTCAGGGTGAGCCTGAGGTCAGGACCCCCTCCAAGCTCCCTGGCTATTCCACCACAATCACCGAGCAGAAGTCAGGCCTGAAGCAGCAGCAATTTCAGCGATTAAAATGCTGCATAAACGGAGGGCACATTACAGTGCAATAAACATGTTTTGATAAGAGTGCAAGGTTGTGAATGAGCTCCTGGTGCTTTCCTCACAGCACTACAGGCACTCAATGAGTCACTCCGACACACATGGATACACTCTAAACACTGATGCTGGAGCTGTACGGGGCCTCGTGGGCCAACATCACAATACAAGCATTTCCATTCTGACCTAATTACGGACTAAAGCCCAACACAAGCAGCAATTTGGGCCTAAATGACTCCCTCGGCCAGCAGGGTCATTATCCAGACCATTTTCAAATCAGTCTATATTGTTTTGGAAGCCCCTGAAGCCCTATTTACAGTACAAAAACATGGCTGGGGGTGTGTTTACAAAGTGGCAAAATTAGAGGTGTTGGTAGGGCTACTGCTTAGTACAGCATGTCTTAACTAATTCGTGCATTTGTAACTAAAATGTAATGCTGTGTGAAAGACACATGTTCACATCAAGCATGAAATTGCAGGCAATTAACACACAGGAGTCTAAACTTCCACACTGCAGACTGATATGACGTATGATGTATCGAGATGATCCTGTTTTACCTAAACCACCCACTCACCAGCTTCTGCCAAGTCAAAGCCCACTGGGCATTGAGATACTAAAGCTTCATGTGACCAGATGTACACAGTATAATATATATTTATATATTTTTTTCAATATTGTAAAACCTGCACAACATGTTGCACATTTCTGCTCCATGCTCTCCCCTTTGAATATAGTATTGCCATATTATATTACATTTTAGTGCAGACAGTTTCTTAAATAACTATACTTTGTGTAAATATTGCCTTTATTTTTCATTTGTTTGAATAGTCTTAGCTTATATAATTGTACTATTTTTTATAGTAAGCTTTCTTTCTGTGTCTCTGTGCACAACTTATACCAAAGCAAATTCCTCGTATATGTAAAACTACTTTGTAATAAAACTGACTCGGATTTCTCCACTCTAACCTAAAGGTTAAACGCGAGAAGTTTGTCATTTTAAAAGAAGAGATTCAACCTTAATCCTGCTCATCCAAGTCAGACCTACAAAAGCCATTTTTTACAATACAATTCAACAAGAAGCAGCCTTGTTTTACATCTATCCGCCTAAAATGGGTTTATCATTTGAGAATTAATTTAAGTGTTTTGATAATAAGTCTTCAATGTCTTTAGTTGGCCATTGCCTTTTTAACCAAACACTTACAATTGCTACTGTATGTACCACCATTTTTAGAAGTGTCACCTGGCTTGGCCTTTTCTTAGTAGAATTAGCTAGCAAGTCTCAAGAAATGAAGTGTAAAAGAGCACAAACGTAAGCCCAATAATTTAGGCAGATTCAGATCCCGGAATATCATTCATTTAGCTGGTTATTGGTCATAAACCATTAGATAAAGAATTGGACAAAATTCCATTTTGACCCTACGATGCCACTAGATCAAAGTGATCAAGTTATTGCATTTTACAATGTGTGGGAAACATGTATGCCTGTACAATAGGAATGACCCCCCTTTGAATAGAAAACCAATTCTATGCACTATTATCAATGATTGCTGCCATGCTGGGTTGCATGACAGCCTGAGTAGAACCTTTTATTATGTGTTTTTTAGATTACAAAGTTCACAGTCAGAATAGAGCGTATAAAGCACTTCAGGTCTGCATAATTTCAAAGAAACAGAAAAACACTTTCAATTGACAATTGAAAAATCATCATGGTTTCAATAACTCTGATGCAGTGGTAAGCAGTGTGGTTAAGAGGTCATCCTCCAAAGGCCACCTCTGAGCGTTTTCTGAGAGGTTTATGAAGTGCCGGCACAAACACGCTCCACTCTGATGTATGAGTGAGCTGTGTATAACGTCAGAGGCAGTTTGTGTTAGGAGTTTACAGTATGTAGTGATTGATTTTCACAGGGAGATACAGCATACTTTCAGCCTTTTAAATACAAAAATTCACCGCAGGAGCTCACAGTCTGATGCTCTAGGATAATAATAGAACTGGTTTGTTGTGAAACTCCAAGAAAAGATTAGATTTTATAGTGTAAACATTAAAGTTGTATTAACAGTATTCAGCAAATGAGCAATCCTAAATGACACTAATGAGTTTAATAAGGACATTTCCAGGAAATAATTATGTAAATTGATTCTAATTACAGGTTAAATTCAGAGGATCTAAGAAGACTGGCTCTATTCAAACCCTAGCTGATATTAATTAATTCCATTGTTTTAATTGTTTGTTTGGCATTAGAGAACTTACATTTTGCCATGTATAGCTGAACTACAAGTCTCTGTAGGTGACTAATCATTAATTGGAAATAACTCAATGTACCAGCTTGAAACTGTCTGTGTTTTTCCTATGTAATTATTAGGAAAAAGCAAACTATTTAAAAGCTAACCTTTGAAACCATATGGACAAAAGTATTACAATTTGTTAGTAGAACAATTCTCTCACTTTAAACTGCGTATTTGAACTTTTAGGAGGTAGGATGGCATGGTATTAATAATCTAGATTGAAAATATTAATACATTGGGATTGGTTTACACTTAAAATGTTGTGTTTTTCATTTTGATTGTTAGCATTTATGGAAAAACCACGGGTGCCATTATCATAAAAATTGGTGGAAGGTTTCCATATTGGCCAAAGAAGAACCCATAACATGTTGGAGTGTATGCAAATCACGGGGGTGGATACAAATACTATTTTCATAATGGGAATGGATTCAGTGATTATCTGTGCTCTCCAGTGCCCTGTACAGGGTTTATTTTGTGAATTTGTTGTGTTAAGATCATAGAACATTAGCCCACTCCGGTGACCTTGGTGACATGGACAAATGAGGTTAATTTACAATCTTCTCCGTTATTGCCTCACTTCAGAGCTGCCAGGAAAATGAACCACCAATCACTGCCGCTGATGTGGACATTGTTACCTCACATGCCCTTCACGGTACCCGTCACCATCCCTTCTTATTCAGCGGCCAGCCGAATGGATGAGACAATGCATGCCAATAGTTTCCGCTTGCTACGTCCTTCCCACACTGCACCAGGGCACAGTGAGGAGACCACGCTCATTTGTTTCCAGCGCACAAAGGCACAGAGGCAGCGGAGAGCCAGGCTAGATAGGGAGAGGCTTGGCAGATGGCCATACACTCCTGATAGTGACAACGCTGGTGATGGTGTCAATTCACAATGAGCTGGAGAAGAGGCTCTCTCTTTCTCTCCCTGCACTTCCTGTATCAGTTCTGAGGAGAGGGTAATGAGCCCAATCAGATTTCCCCATGGCTCAGCAAAACCAATGGGTCAGATGAGCGACGGGAGACACTATTGAGACAGGTGCTGGGGGAAATCATCGACTCTCTCTCCATTCACCACCTGCCCCTCTCTGTCTCCTCTCTCT